AAGCCAGTTAACATCAGCTTAAACGAACATCATCAACAGTCGCAATGTTTTATATATATGCGTGTTTTCATTGATTCTAAATCTGCGACTAGAAAAAAAATTGATCATTCAAGAATTGACATTTCTACGCTTAATAATAATAAAGAGAAAAAGAAACAAAGGGTGCTTTTAGAAACATCAGAGCTCGGAACTGATCTAATTTCATTCGACATCGGTGATTTCAGATTCAGTTAAAAAAATTGCACGTTCTCATCTTCACGAGAGAAACTGGATCGAGTTTCAAGCTGTCTCCGTCAAAGCGTCTCTCTGTTATATATGGAATAACCAATGAAATCAGATCCGATGAACTAAAACTCCCGGAAGAGATGGTTTTCGAAATCGGTATAAATTGTCGATCGATCGTCCGATTGAAAAAAAAAAAAAAAAGAAAAAAAGAATGGAACAGAGGACGAAACTCACCGATCGGCCTTTGAACTTCTAACTACACTCTGCGATTGAAACGTGTGGTGTAAGTATAGTCGGTTGCAACTAGCGTTCACGTGATCGCCGCCATCTAATTTATTATTCACGCATTACACATTCGCCTTGTCTACCGGTTGACATTGTTTTCCATCTCGAGTTTCAACGCAATTATATCCCTTCGCGTAATTAGCGCTTGCGAGTTCTATTACGATTGTTACGAGTCTCTTTATAATCTAAGTTCTTGCTCGACCGTGGGAAACGATAATTAAAGTTTTCTAATCTAATCTTGAGAAACAAGTGAGAAACAACTATTATCTAGTAATACAAACAGATACGAGAAACATTTCTATTATAATTACGACTGATTAGAATATGTCCGAACCCTTATATAAATATTTTACTATCGTGCTACAATGAATTCGTTATCCTGATTTAAAAATATTTGAAGATGCGTTTGCTTAACTGAGCGAAGCAGAAATATTACTAAAACATTATTTTTACGACTGTTTATCTATCCACTTCTAATCGTAGTTTTCGAGATACAAGATGAATGTCGTTCTTTATTTCTCGCCCCTATACGCATTTTTAGATTGATCCGAAAGACAGATTTAAATTGAATTGCAATTTTAATGACACTTTGAGATATTTTTTAACATAACGTACACAATACACGAAAGTTCTCTGTTTTTAAATCATTGTAAAAGCAATAAACATCGATCTTCGTTTTATATTGCAGTCGCATCAATTTGAGGATCACAAGAAGCAGCAATAAATTCCACTTAATCGAACACGACCTTGCGAAAAGTAAGAAACAAAATACACAGTACGAATCAGAAGATTCATCGAAAGATTAACTAAGAGGAAATTTTCTTGATTCATTTCGTTCTACACACGACGTCCAATACCATTATTTTAAAAAAAAAGAATACTGGAAACTGGTGGAAATTTCACATCTGGCGTGATAGTCGTACTTGCAGGACCTTGGAAATAAATTCTTAACCCAAATAGCCGACCCCGATACTCGAGAAATTTTGAGAAGCTGACGTCAATACCAATACTGTCACTGTGCGATCATTTCATGGTAAGCTGCATTAATCGCTCTTCTGTTTCACGGAATTAATTTATAACGTGTAGAATAATTATCGAGAAGAGATCAGACATGCGCAGCTACATGTGCGTATGTGCGTATAAATTCATGCGAATATGCACACTTGCGAATTTAGCGAAACGGTCAGGTCTAATTATTTTAGGGATATATCGGGGCCTGTGTTTTGACATCGAGCGCTGACTCCGAAACGTTAATTAATCTTGGATGTTATTAATTAAGCAGACCACGCGTGTGTTAATTGATCGTTTTCAAGTTCAACGCGTCCGCTAATGATCAGTCGTTATGACGCTGGAAAACTTTTGTCAGAAGCTTTTTGCCATTCCAACTTTTTCGTATCAATGTTCGTTATAAATTAGAAATATGTTCTCTTATATATTTTAATCGTGTACCAAAAATTATGTATCAATTTAGGAACATATAATTTATTTATAATACAGTAGAGCAATAGAATTTTTCTATAAATTTGTAAATTTAATAAATTCCAGTATTAATTAATATAAATTTGTATTTTTTAATCATATATATATATATATATATATAATTAAAAAATGTATATATATATATTATAATATATATTATATTATATATTTTATATATATATATATATATATATATATATAACATATTTATACATTCAAGTAAAAATTTAAAAAATAGTCAAATTATTAAAAACGCTATATGCCTTTTTTTGTTTAATTCCTATAAAATTCTATATAATTCTATATAATTCTAAACACTGGAATCCTTTTCTAAATGCTTCTTGAATATTTCAGTGTAGAGGAACACATGATTTCCGTTTTTACTTTCAGATTGTGGAAAAATAACGTTTACAACGTCTTGAAACACAAGTGAAATTGATTTATTAAACATGACCTCTTGTACGTTTCATCAGCATTGTTTTCTTAATAAAATCTTGCATCTCATACTTTAGCAAGCAAGTTTTTAATGTGCAACATATACGTGCAAAATAGTCTAACATGAGACAAGGCATTTAGTACTAGTAAGTATTCTGTTCGAATAACAAAATGTTCCAGTCAGTAAGACGGATTTGGATATTATATTATTATTATTATATTATTATAAATAATAGAAGTTTGAATATATAGGAGGCTGATCTACTACATATGATTATATGAATACAAACATTTATTTGTTCATGTTTTTAAATTGATTTTGTAAAGAATAAAAAATTGCGATGTTTTTATATGAAAATCATGTCAGTTCAGATTTTATCTTCACCGTAAACGCTGCTATTGGAAACGTTTCACAATAGATGTCTTACGTTCGTTTGTAATGTCCGTCGCGTCGTATGTAAAGCTCTATCACTGAATCGTATCGTGGCTGCCATTTAGTAATTAAGGTCAATCACTTAGGGATGCTAATCTGACACGATGGCGTGCGATGCATTCAAGATCTTATTAGAAACACAGCCGCGCTTTAATTTAAACAATCTTATTTGTAAATATATCTCAAAGGCATATTTACTTCAACATTGATTGATCTTAATTTCATTAAACATCGGATATGATTAATTGAACGAGATATTTAAATATTTAATAAGACGAAAAGAATTCCAAAACACGAACGAGAATCCTGCGACTTTTAAAATTTAAATTTTTATAATCAGACTACGGATTTTTGAGAAGATAATTTGTATGAATATAGAATTGAAAATTGTTTTACGTAAGCGAAATTTTATAGAAAGCGGTATACTTCAAACTGCGTTACATACTTTTTCATATTATGCGCAATCTGTACAATTTTTCAATCTGTTTCAATTGAAAATTTTATATGAATGCATAAAAATTCGCAGTCTTATATAATTATTTAAGTAAAATAGTATCTTTAAAAATAATATCCAGTATCTAGTATCTTTAAAAATAATATCTTCATGGGATATTTCTTATTAAGAACAGAATGTCTTGAAAAATTGGCCAATACCTTTGCGATACCCTGTGTACGTTGAGTATCACTTTTCCGCAACTTTCATCGCACATGTAACGAATTAACTTGAACGGTCCGAATATATAGATCGCGCGCGCGCGCGTCGACACACATTTAAATAAACGTTTCACGCATCAGACGAGAAAGAAAAGACAAAACTAAAACTATTCTCTCTCGTATTTTCTTACCGAATTCATTAAAGATTTTAAGTGATTCAGTTGTTTAACTTTCTTAAATATAAACTTTGTTGCAACACGAAAGAGTTAATCTATATTTAAAACCGAGATCCTCAAAATTCAAATCACTCCTTCGTTATGCTATATTATAAAAGAATTAATCAAATTCAAACTTGGATAACGTTGTCCCAAATCCTAGATCAAAAGCCGAAAGGAAGAAATCCTACGAGGGAGAACAAAATGTAGATACGTAGAATTTACACGTTATAAGACTTACTAAGAAGAGACAATTACATTCAAGCCCGTCAAAATCATCTCACGTCGAACATCTTTCAAATATTCCGAAGAAAAAACGTATATCCGCGAGAGGAAAGAAAAAAAACGCGAGACTTACTAGGAAAGTGCATCACGCCGATGCCTCGATCGTCCCTCGTGCTTCGCAGTCCATGTGTTCGAAACGATACAAATTTCCTCCGAGCAACGAAGAGCCGAAGGATGATACCACCTTCTCTCCAAGAATGCGACGAGATGTGAGAAGTGCAATACGGGAACAATAATCGCGCGATAAGCCGACAAGTATATAGGCCAGGTGTCGCGAACAAACAAGGGGAGAGACACAGTCGTTGGACCGATGCGATTGTACACGCTCGGCGGGCAAACAGCGACTGACTGAAGTGAACTCTGTCGCAGTGTGAGCACGGGCTGCGTTCGCGGGTCGATCGAACACGTTCTGCGCCCCTCCTCGGCACCGGCGTCGAAACCACCCCCAACGCTCCGATACACCTGCAACACCAGCTACTGGTCTTCACTTCACCGCGTGATGCTTTTGTAGCAGTCTTCGGGATACCGTACCGAAGATCGAAATCAAAGTATTCGAGAGAACATAGACACATATGCCACCGTACATAAATAACTGGATAACTTACTGTTTATCAAAAGTTGGATATCTTTTTTCAAGGTTTCGACAATTACGGAGGTTGACGAACGGAGGTTGTCCTACTGTCTGCATTCTCGTCTCTCGTTTCTGACGAACAGCTGCGTAAACATTTTCAGTGTCGTTAGAAGCTTGTATAGAATTTAGAAATTTAGAATTGTTAATTGAAACTTAAACTTGTATACTTACGTAGAATTATTATTGATATTAGACACTTAAATATTTTAATCGTACAACAGAATTGAATACAACACTCAGAATAGAGAACACTTCACGTAAAAAATTCAGAAAATTATACAATTGTTATACAATCGTATGATTCTTCTTTAGGAACATGATTTGACCATTTGTTTTCTTGGTCAAATTTCGGGCCAATCTGCAGGTTCGTATTTAGAAGCCACCGTTTAAAATGATATTGTGAAAGTTGACTTGTTGGAGCAAAACTGAAGGCACGAAACAAAATTTCCGAGAACAAACGAGATTTGTCGTTTACTACGTCATTAACCTCGTCGTGAGCTACTTTTCGACGATGACAGCTAGTAGCGTAAGAAAATCCGAGAGGGTTTGTAAAATTGAACAGTAAAAAATACCCGGAAGCTAGTTACCCAAACAAAGAGTCTCAAAGACCAAGGACGCGACAAATTTGGAGGAACGAAAACGAAAATTGTGACGCGTTAACTCTGACAAAAACTATTAAAAAGCAAGACAATAAACTGATTTGACCGAACAACAATTTATCACAATACTGCAAATATCTCGATTTCTTTCAACTTCATAAGATGATAGAACCTGAGTAAAAGATGAAATACTGAAAAAAATACTAAATAAATAATCTTTGAAATTTCAAATATTTAAAAAATGAGATTTGATACTGTAAACTGATTGGGAAAATTGCAGCAACAGTGGATTAAAGATCATAATCTAATTTAATTCCTTGATGTCGAATTTCAAAGTGAAACACCCTATAGATACTGAAGAGAGCGAAGACAGTTATACTAGTAACATCTGTATGCTTTGATATATCGTATTCAATGTTCTTTACAATATAAATATTTTACAAACTAAATAGATCTGAAACTAAAATTTTATATTCGGGGGCTCCTTAAAATTTTGCATCATTCTGGTAATTGAACACAGCACTATATTCCTATAATATTCAGTGGATGATGACAAATTTTTACTTAAATTCCACTCATTCATTTAAATTTATAGAAATGCCGATTTGGACAAAAATCTGTAATCCACTTGTAAGCGTTTAGAACTTTGGTTATAATCAAAGTTTATAATTTTCAGCTGCACCCTGTATATGCATGAGTCAAACAATGCCAAACATCACCATAACAACGATTCGTTTCTCTTTTGTTCAGCTGAAGTATTCGAGAGAATTTGCGGAACACAGAGAAACAGTAATTTAACAAACTGTTTTAGAAGTCTTAATTCTAGCGCCTTACCGAGAAATATAACGTATCATATTTACGACTGTACATCATGAACACTGATTTGTCGATGCAAGGAAGCATGAATAAGATAACGTATAATCTACAGAAAGAGGTAAGAAACAGAATTTAGATTTTCCGAAATTTCCACGTGGATCCATGCTTTATTACTTAATTTGCAAGTTTTCTTCATTTTTCATAAGATATTTCACTTTCGAGGATAGAAACATTTGAGATGTGTGAAATCACATAATCATTCTTAATAAAGATGCGTAAGATAACAAACACCAATAAAAAATAAATATAGTAAACGTAATTACGATTTTCCTAGTAGTTAACGAAATATAGTAAACAACAATTTGTTTTTTTTTTCGTCTTTTGGTACGATGCTTTTTGAAGAATGAAGATAAAATAAAAAATTCCAGAGAAAACCAAATGGTTTAGACCATATGAAAATTTGCTTAAAATGGTCTGATACAGAATATATTAAAAACTTATCTTTGATGGCTACCACATGAAACTACGCGATTCAATGAATTTGCAATCTAACAGAAAATTAAATGAAAAATTTCTTACGACGATTATCAGATTATGAATTTTTATGCATTTGTAGAAAATTGACAAGTGCAAAATTGTATCTAATATATAAAATATTTAAAGTAGAATATTTATCATAACATATAATAAACAGAATAAATTTATTAATAAATACTTGGATTCGATTTCATTAGCATAGTGTTTGTAAAAATTTTAAAAATAAAATTCTGCGGTTTAATAATTACCAATGAAGAAATTAATGTTAAACCAGGAAGAGAACCGTATTTTGGAACGTAATCGAAATATATTGTACCTCATATATGATTATCTGGATCAAAATGGGTGAGTATATCATAATCCAAATCTTTTTCTTAGTTATAATTTAGCATTAGTGACCAATGAATTCTTTCATTCAGAACTTGTAATAATCAAATTATTCTACAATCATTAATAAAAAAAATGAAGTTCAAATTGAAACTTCTTCTGAATCTTTTAAAAAGTTGGAAATTAGAAATCTATAAATAAGTATAATTTCCTAAATTTAAATCGAAAGACGAAACAATTTGATTATACACGTTACATTATATTGTCACAATTGATCACTTAATTATTCTGTATGGTAACAAGATGTTTACGAAATTTTTATTAATTACTATTTATTTCCAGATATGTACAAACTAACGTTGCTCTACTTCGAGAAGCTCGTCTAACTCAAGAGTATCGGGTCTGCGACAACATCGATTTGAAAATAATTATTGCGGAGTATGAAAATTATTATAAGATGAAGTTTCAGAAGTACCCTATGTTGTGTGCGAAAATAACAAAGGAAACGTCAAATGCAAAGAAAGTGTAAGGATTAAAATTATCCAACAAATATTATAAAATCTTCCTTCGACGATCATATTTTTCAAAAATCTACATTTCAACTATAAATCCTGTCCATAGTAGAATTTGAAATATTATCGATTCTACATAAAATATTACATTTTCATTTGTAATTAAAATACTTGAATCACACATCAGCAACATTTGAAAAATTCTTAATGTTATTATTGTTAAGTAAAATCACAATACAATTTAATTTGATCCTTTTATAGAATAATTTGAAATGGGATATTTCATAGGATTATTTGAAGCTTTGTTACATATCTTAATTAAAAAACTGGAAAAATCCTTGCGACTTATATGATAATTTAATTCGAATGCCTTGGTAGCAACTTTTTAGAAAATATATATATTTAACAAAAATTCTTTGTATAGTTTTCTGTATAATCTAACATGTACAAAAATCATTACATAAAAATTAATTACAATATTTATAATTTCATCTTTTGCAGAACAAACAAATCAAAAGTCCCATTGCCTACAATTTGCAAACGTGACTCAGTAAAAGAAAAAAATGAACAGGAAAAGAATGATGACGATACGAATAATATTAATCTCGCAATGACAGTGACGTCGATTTTCCCTAATCAGAACTGTGGAGCTCCATCAGAAGAACCACTTGATCATCTAAAGGAACGAACGAACATACAATCGAAGATATCGAATTGCATTGAAAAATTATATCCAGGAAATTCGGAATTGCAAAAGATCGCTGAAGATATTTCACGCGTAAGCTCATTTTCATAGTTTAAAGTCGTTTGAACGACTACTTTCTTTAATATGAAGAAAATTTATTTGTTGAATTGGGATAACGCATGAAGTTTAATACGACTTTTTCATTGATTTTCTTCAACAATGAGTCATCGATATTACAATAGTAATATATCACATACAAAAACTTATACTAGGCTCCAATAGTCTGAGAACAGTTAAATGACAAATTAGATAATATCCAATACAGAGAATATATATATTTTTTTTCATTTTCTGTCGTAGGAGATCATATTGAACAAATTAAATGTACATTGGGACGATATCGTAGGACTAGAAGAATGTAAAACCGCTGTTAAGGAAGCCGCTGTGTATCCTGTTAAATACCCTATCTTTTTCAACGGCCTATTTTCTCCTTGGAAAGGTATTTTGTTGTACGGGCCGCCTGGCACAGGTAAGTCAAATTCATATTTCCCACTCTCTCCATATTTTTAAAAAAGCTCACAAAGAATTTACAAAACAGGCAAAACGATGTTAGCAAAGGCAGTCGCGACAGAATGCCATTGCACTTTTTTCAATATAACGGCCAGCTCATTGGTGAGCAAATGGAGAGGCGATTCCGAAAAATATATACGTGTAAGTTATCTTCTTCCTGTCTAAAGAAGTTTTAAATGTAAAAAAATTTTTTTTTTTTTTCACCGTTCATATATGAACAGCTGTTTAAACAATGTTTAGACATCACATTTGCAATGAAGTAACGAATTTTGTTAAACTGCACAGGTTTTATTTGATCTTGCCTACAGTCATTCCCCTACAGTTATTTTTATTGACGAAATTGATTGGATAGCCATAAACAATGAAAACTATACATTATCTGAACCTGCAAAGAGATTCAGATCAGAAATTCTTGCTAGGCTGGATGGATTAGTATCTACTGAAAATTCTAATGTAATTCTTCTAACCGCAACTAATTGCCCTTGGTAAATATTTTTTATCTAAAATAATACACGTATGTTATATTTTTCAATATCTTTTAAATAATACTTTATAATCACTTTGGAAATTTTGTACTTTCTTTATTGTATCATTAGAATAATAATAGATAATAGTGTTATTTCAATATATTAAAAGGGCGATAATATTATGTTATTAGGGACATTGATGCAGCTTTGCTCAGGCGTCTTGAGAAAAGAATATATGTATCGTTACCCGACGAAACTGCCCGACTTAAAATGTTCAAATTATATCTCAGCAACCATTTATTAGAAAACATAGATATTATAAACGACATAATAAAGTACAGTGAAATGTATTCTTGCGCGGACATAAAATTACTTTGTAAACAAGCATGGATGTTAGAAATAACTCCAATATGGAAAAAACTTGAAAAAGAGGAAATGTCTATCGGAAATTTAAAATATGAATTAAGGAATTATCAAATATTAGCAAACTTGATGAAAGAAACATTACCTACAGTTACGAACGTAAATAAATATAATTTGTGGAATAAAAAGAAAGACTCAGAGAATCGTCACATCTTCTAGTTTCATAAATTATGTTTAAAAGAATCAGAAAATAAAGATTCTTTATTTCAAATTTTAATTATCATGTTATTCTTTCTTTAATTTTTGTTTAGACTTCACTTTATCCAATAATTTTTACGAAGAAGTTTGCAAACAAAAATTACTGGTGTTTTAGTTCAGTAAAAAAAGTGAAAAAAAAGAGAATTATTTTGTAAATTCTTCTTTTGATCTTTGTAGAAAAACGTATGCATCATCATTAGACTATAAATAATTAATGAACCAGTGAATCGATTAACAAAAAGTAGGATTTTTTTCTAATATAAGTTCGAATTGTAATGAGATTTTTTTCAATAAAGTAGAAGGAAATGAAAAAAATATTTTCGTCTTTGAAGTTACATAGAGATTTGAATGCATTATTTTTTTCTACGATTATATTAACTAGAGATTATAGTTTTAAATATGTATTAATGATACTCATAACACTTAATATATCCGTATTCTAATTCTACGAGTATTAAAATATACGTGAACATGTGTGACAAAATGTAACATATTCATGTTTTATTTCATGTGATTATTAATATATAACGATATATTCGAATATTTAAGAACATTTCGCGCAAAATCAATATATAATGTAATATTCTACATACAAGGATCTAAAACATAAAACATTCAATATCAAAAAGATGATTTATGAAACAAACGAAATATTTATCTACGGGACGTTAATCTTAGGTTAATAAAATCAAAATAGATGATTAGATTTTGTTAACCTAAATTAACTTAGAATATCACATGATCAGGATATATTTAAATATATTTAAATAGTCTTCAGGATATATTTAAATATATTTAAGTAATATTTTATTACATATCGATAATCATACAAAATAGAACGTGAATATGTTAATACATATTTTACAGAATTACAGCATTAAAATACGGATATATTAATATATTGAACATGTAAGCACACATGTATTTAAATACATATGACTTTGAGATGTCTCATACCAATCTTAATAAAAAAATTATAACTAAAATATGAAGTAAATAAATACAATAATCAGTATACCTATATTATTGTTATATAAAAATTGTTTCATAGTTAAAAATTGACATGATCAACAATGCTTTCTTTTCTCCTGATTGCTTCTTGCTTGTTTCAAACCATGATAGTAACCTGAAAATAAAAAGAAATAAAATATGCCATTGAAAATTTAATGCAAGATAATCGTATAAAATATTTACCTGTATGAAAACCACTAATATACCATGACATCAACATACTTGAAAGTGCATCCGCATCATTGTCTGGTAACCTAAGATATTTTGTTAAAATTTAGAACTATCATATCATATTATTTATTAGAAATTGCTTATTAATAATTATAAATTACTTGGCCATTAATTGTGGTGGTAAAGGAGGTGCAGGTGGCATTATATCAGTGAAAGAATTAAAAGATGGCCCAGGTACGAACTGATGTTTGTACGATCTTGTTTCTTCAGAGTCACAATCCATTTTTTCTCCGTTATATTTTTTTGGATCGTTCGTAGAAAAATTTGTTTTACCAGTCTCATCATTTTCTTCGTTAAATTTCTCTTCCAAAGCTTTCTTCTGTTGTGCCACCTGACTCTGTAAACCTTCCGATTCCAAAAGAGAATTCAACTGCACTTTCTCCGTGTTGCCATAGCCTGTAAATAAAAAAAATGTTGTTTTATAAATTAGAATTTCGTAATTTCCCACGTACACGAATTGTATTTCTTGATTGATATCATGAACAGCTATCATGCTAAAAATATTACCTATAAATTTTACAATACAAGTTCTGTTTTCAAAAATTTTTAATATTACAGCTTCATAAATTACGCCATCTTCCGAGTATATTGCACGACAAGGAGCTCCTACAGTCCATTTCTATTAAGAAAAAATGTATAAAGAATTAATGTTATATAAATAAATAAAATAAAATGAAAATTTTGTTTCTTTTATTTATTAATATCTGTGGGAAATTTATATTTTATTAAAACCACCACCTTCTTTGGTTCATTTGTATGCTGGTTTACTTGTATATTTTCCTCCAATTGAGAATTTTGAATGTCTAATCCCATTCGTTTGATAACTTTCTCTTTCGCTAGATTTATAGCTTTGTCGTATGCTTTTATTAACGCGCTATCATCCCAAACATCTTCGTTGTCTTCGTTCGTAACCTAAAACAAATAAATAATCATATGTTATTATTGATATGAGTCTTATTAAGTTATCGATAGAAGAATATTACATGATTTGTTGAAAATTTATTAACCCGGGATTACCCACCTGGGGGTCTAGGGGCCGGAACCTGCACTAGACCTACCCCACGTGGGTAATCCCGGGTTAAAAGTTGATGCTATCAATTGCTATTCCATTGTCTAATACTATCTTATACTAAACTAAACTAATAACAAAAACATGTATACATACGTTTCCATTTCCCCGCACAAAAAGAACATTCATATCATTCGCCATTTCACAAAAATAACTTTATTTAAATATTGATTCTGTTTCTGAAAAATTAATTTGTTATATCTCTTTCACTGCAACACAATGTAAACAATGTCGACATTACCACCAACCATACCAACTAAAAATTTAGTCTTTAGTTTATTCGGAGGATTATTTCTTGAGGTAAAGTTGGCATTAAATGTCTCTAGATTTTATTAATCGTATCGTATTTTTTTACCATATTATAATACGGTAATAAACATTATACGTGCAATAAAACTTCATAGCACAAATATTAAACTTAAATAGCAAAAAAAAAATCAACAGCAAGAATAATCACATTATATATATTGAATGGATCATGCTATGTACATTCAATATAGTTTCTATAATAAGATTTAATTTTATGAAGTCACATGATTAAATTTACATTTATTTATTATTATCTCTATTCTTTTCTAGTTATACATTTTCTTGTTAATATTGTAGATACTTGTAAAACTGGAATATTTTGTAAGATTTCAAATGTTTAATAAAAAAACAAAAAAAAATAAATATTTCACCTGTAGAAAAAAATATATGATCAAAAATAGTTTTTGGGTATTATAGAAGGGTGATATTTTTTAAAAAATTACAGATTGATTTATTTTCATCACTCTCAATAAATTCTACTAGCATTCTAAAACGCATGGACAGAAGAGCACGTGCTCGGTATGCGTCACTTGTATCACAGATTATAACCTGTCGTAACAAGAGAAACGTGCCACTTATGTACCAGAATATCACATCGAAAGAATGTCGTGAAAGTTTCTGTATAAAGTACAAGGTACATTTGATCTGTGATCGGTATTTCCAATATTTTTAGTGTTTGGTCGAGGTGTTCTGTACTTGTGATATTTATGAAAAGAATGGCGTTAGTAAATCATTTTAAAAAATTCTCGAGATCAGTTCTCAATATTGCTTCGAATTATTCAAAATATACAAGCAACACAATGTTGCCTTTTTTACAGACAACAAGGGGAGCATCAACCACGCAACAGCTTTCAGAAAAACAAGAGTAAGCAACGTAGACTTTCTCCTCCCTTTTTTTAATGTTGTTTTAACACATAACTTCCAACATGAGATCGAAATTAACAAATTTATGTTGTCTAAGAAATATTTCTCTTTGTAGGAGTGTAACGTCTAACAAATAAAATAGTATTAATAGAATATTTAAAAATAAACTAATAAAAGCGACATTTTGACAGTGACTAGCTAAAAGCATATATGTCATTGTCATAAATGCTATACGAATCTTGTTTACATGTTATTAAGACAAGTATGGCTTATCTTTCAATTATTTATAGTATTATAAGCGATTCATGCAATTAAAAAGAAGTTAATTGAAAATTAACAAAAATTCTCATAAATAAAGAGATAATTCTTATTTATTGTAAATATTATTATTTCCAGAGTTAACGTAACGTTTGTTAGAGCAAATGGAGAGAGAATCAAAGCAAAAGGGAAAGTTGGAGATACTATATTAGATATAGTTGTAAACAACGAGATTGATTTAGATGGATACGGTATGTTTTAAAAAAGAATAATTTAGAATAATTTCTATTAGTTTTTAATTTTGACTACCATATAAATATACAGTGTAGTTTTTAAATTTTTTTTTAATGTAATTAAAAACATTGTTATTTATGTAGGTGCTTGCGAAGGAACATTAACTTGTAGTACATGCCATTTAATATTTTCAAAAGAAGTTTATGACGCACTTCCTAACGAACCAACAGATGAAGAATTAGACATGTTGGATTTAGCATATGAATTGACAGACACGTAAGTTAATAATAGTCTAAATCTAAGAACTCATCATAAATATTATTAATTTAATTATTATTATTTTCAAATATTTCATTTTATTCCTTTATTTTATTTTTTTCTTATGCAAACTTTGTCAAATGTCATCCTTATTTTCATCACCCAAGTATAGGGTACTTCAAACTTTGCATTTCAATCTAAAGTTTCAATCTGCCAGCTTTGAATTTAAAATTATAATAATAAATAAATTTTCATAGTTTTTTATTTATGAATCTATCCTAAATCAATATATGTATTAACATATTTACAATATTGTTCTCAAATGAATAGAAAGTTGTGTTTTATAAATTAATATTAATATTAGAATATTTTATAAATTAGCTAGGTTTATATAACAACCAATATATTCATTTATACAATATTTAATTTTAGGTCACGTCTAGGTTGTCAAATAGTAATGACTAAAAAACTAGATGGAATTGAGGTAAGAGTTCCATCAACAATTAATGATGCAAGGGCGTAACTAGAATTGGGTACTTCATGACAATTATTAAAATGTTGATAATAAAAAATTTTGCTTCTAAATATGAAGCTTATATATTTTATATATAATAGTAAAATTTAGTAAAATTTAATTATATAAGATTACTTATTACATTGTCTATATATGAGTCTATATCATGACTCTATATAATTGTAATTGATTTTAACTTTTAAATATTTTGAAAACAAAGAATATATGTATATCAAAATATCTTATTAAGTATAAAACATTCTGTAATTTTTTTACATTTTGTACTGTTAATATTGTAAATAAGAATACTTATGGATAATTTTAAATGTTACATAACAATAGTTAAATGAAACCATTGAATATATTATTTTCTAAAATTGAATTCAATCGTATCGAAGAATCTTATTTATTTAAATTTTATACATTATCGCCTTTGACTTTGAACAATAAAACAGCAAATTTAATATTTAAAAAAAAAAAAAAACTTGGTTCCTTTGTTTGATTTCCCATGCTCGCATTTGTTAACTACTTGGAAATAAAATACTTACGCGTTACGAAAAATTTATAAACTATCAAACGCTTCACTAAATTTGAATTCTCGTCATCTGTTGAGAATAATTTATTATTTTTTTTAATTAGGTACATACCAAATACATTTATTAAGTCGGTACTTCTCGTAAGTATCAGTACATAAAGCTAAAACACTTTTGTACTATGCTTGTTATATATAGACCTAATGAATAATTTAACTTGTGTATTGTCGCTTGTATATTTTGTTTACGTGTAAAATATTCTATTTCTACACTTCTTACAAATTCAATATAAAGTGTACATTATCATGAAATTTACATATTTTCACTTGGTTACCCTGCCCAATTTGAATATAGTTCAGAACGTATGTGATATATTTGTATATTCTCTGAATTCGTTTTATATACTATGTACATTGAGCCAATCTTTATAAATGCAAATTTAACGACACGCTATAAAGTAAGAAAAATAATACAGCGCAAAATTAATGAGAAATTTGTTGTTAATTTTATTCTGACTCGTTTCATCGAACGAATTTTAACGAGTAATTTAATTTTAATAATAATTGAGCGAGTGGAAAATACAAAATAAAGTACTTTCATTATTTTCTATTGATCTAATATTATTAAACGAATATGTAGTGATGCTTCGGAAGATATTGTAAATTAAAAACATTGGCCAACAATTGTTCTAATCGGTCATACTTTGGAAATTGTGAAAGCGAGAATCGAGAGAGAATCTCGTCTATAAGATTAAAATGCGAATATAAATAAATACGAAAATTAAAAATACTTCGATAAAAATTATAACGAAGAATCGTTCGGCTTATATAAATACGTGTAAAATTCGAAGTTAGCGAGTCTCGTACATCTTTCGAAATACTATCATTCGTTCGATACACGTAGAGCAGTAAACATTAGATCAACACTTTGTTCGGTAACAATTTTTCAAAAATCTTAAATTATAATCGAAAAATTTTTCTACAATAAGAATAGTCGGATTTGAGATAATAAGATATTCTCTTCTATTTAAATATGATGCCAATTTTAATCCTACCGATACCTAATTCTATCGTTCATTTTTTTTTCTTTCATTTCTTTCATTCCGTATTTAATACACAGAAAAAGTATAAATACGTTCGTCATAAAATTAATATCGAACGTCGCGAAATACTCAGAAGTAAACTAAGAAAAGAAATAAGATATTATTATTTCTCTTAAAAAGATTCATTCTATACACACAAATGATCGATCATATTGTGTATGTACATATGGATTATAGAAACAATACATTTTTATATTTCTTAATATCTCGTTCAAATAATTCTACAGTTGAAACTCGTATCGGTCTTCGATTCGATAACTGCATATTTATTGGAAGTAATTAAGCTATAGTTCTGCACGCAAGAGAAGAAGGAACAAACACGTATAGTATACACGCTTAAATAACAAAATTAAGTTGATTTACGTTCAATGTGAACTTGATCGAAGTTCCAGTCTCGAATTATAGAGTTTTTTTTTTTTTTTTTTTTTAATTTTAATGTTCGTAACGTTGCTAGTGCATTCTATAGACAAGGACTAAAATATCCTAGTGTTCGCAAATGCTTCGTTAAAAAGCTGTAAAATATGAAGCTCGACAAATTTAATTTCAACGATGGATTAGTCAAAAAGAACCGTCATTTCGGCCTCGTGCATCTACATATTAGATTTCTACTTTTAAAAAAATATGCATTATCTTCGGGAGGAAAAACGAAACGAATTGATCGCAAGAATCAATCAGAAGAGTGTAAAGAAATTGAACAAAATCTGCATGAAATTCGGCTCACGATAAATCCAACGGTGCTTCGATATTAATTGAGCGTTGATAAAAGGGGACGGTACTTCGAAATAACATTAACAATTTTATTGTAATTTTTCAAACGCATTTGTGGACTTTTTGCAAATTAACTTTCTTTGTTTTATTTCTGCTTGCAGAATACACTTGGGCAAAGTTCGAACGCTGAAATGCGGAAACACTCTGTACAGATATTACACAAATATAAATAATAAATGTACGTAATGTACATAATATTTAGGTGAACGTATATATATGTTTAAATACACGTGTTACATATGCACGTATTTAATACATGTTTTAATATACGGCTGTTAAAATGCACATGTATCAAAATACACAATAGAATACGATACAGGCATATTGACATATTCAAGTTTTATACCGTGCGATTATTAATGTATAACAAGAACACGAAAACACGTAATTAAACGAAACAAACAACGCCTGGTTAAATCAAGCTTTCCGACTGACGGAAATATATATCGCAACAGCAAAAAGAAACTACCTGCTACCAGAAAACGTTGAATTATTACTTCCTCTATTTTTTTTCTTTTTTTTACAAACAAAATAAACGATCGCTTAATTAAATCCTGTTATTTACAATGATATTTAATGCTTTTTACTGTTACCTACGATTTTTGTCAGGATGTCATATATTTGTCTCGGAAATTACGGAAATTGCGTAAATGCAACATGCTCGCGTATCACTTTCGTTCGTCAAAAACTGAGACGAATATACAAGTTTGAATTTGCAATTTTCGTTCACCAAGAACTGAAGATTACTGAATAAAAATTATATACAATGCTTTCAACGTTCTACATTTGACATGTTGTAACGAATAATGTTTACAGGAGATCGAAAAGAAAATCGTAAGCCAGTGCATTAAGGAGATATTAATCTGGCTTGAAAAAACATCAATTTTTCTTCACATTTTCTCAAAGTATATAATATGCTTTTGAAAATGTCTATGTAAAACGATTTGTTTGAATTCGTAAAATTAGAAAAGTTATAGATGTTTAAAGGAAAAGGTGTACTGCTCGCAACGTAAGTATGAATATTTTTGTACAACTGGTAACAAACACTTCAAATGTGCTTTTCTCAAAAAATATTTTACTTTATAATATTATTATTTATCTTATTATTATTTTATATTATTATTATTTATTTATAGTATTTATTTATTTATTATTATTATTTATTTTATTATTATTTTATAGTATTTTATTTTTTGTACTGCTCGATTGATTGTAAGTATGAATATTTTTGTGCAACGAGTAACAAGAACTTCAAACGTGTTTTTCTCAAATCCATACTTTTTAAACTGGCTGACGGGATATCTCACGTTTTAGTTGACTGATTCACTTGAAATTTGGAGGAGATCTTCACCGGATGTACCTTTATCGCATGAACCACGAACTTTAAAATCTGATGTTTTTTTTTTTTCTATTTCTTTTACCACCAAAAAGACGAAAAGCACAAGGAAAATCGATATTTTAACTTGAAAATGCTGCCATTTTTTTAATTTTCGAAATTTCGCCGTTTCCGTAGTTCATGTGATAGCCGTATTTATACTAATTAAGATGCATTCTGGTTTTTCAGTTTCAAATAACCGGAATCACGTCAGCCATTCGAACCCGTTTTCAAAAACATGCTTTACCTGAGGCTATATAATTTCCACAACTTTCACTAATTTCGTTAAAAAAAAATTGTAAATACTCTTCAAGTATGAATAAATCTGCATACCAAAATGTATCACGGTTTGCTTAGAAAAAAATCCCAAAAGAATCGATTTTTTCAAGCCGGCTTAATACACATCGTGTGCATATTTTATACATGCGAAATTTTAAGACACGTTCAGAATCACAATTTCTAGTTTAAGCAGTTTGCATCCGAGAACGAAGTATCACGCAATGTTGTTCACGATATACTTTGTACGAAACAGCGAATTGAAGCGGAGCTCTGAGATTTTATAAAATTTCTATTTCTATTAAAAAGAATTTTTTTAAAACGGCCAAATTTCGGAAACGTGTATCTGCACAGGTAATTGAAATCACACCATACTCCTACGACGACTATACTCGTTAAAAGCAGAAAAACTTCATCTGTTTTAAACTCGAATTAAGTTACCACAAAATCACGATTCATTAATTTTCAATTTAATTATTTTAATATTATATTGGCATTTGATTTCATCGACTTTAATTTAACATCCGACTCAATTAACTAACAAATGCCAGTACATGTTTCTTATTCATTAATTAATTATAATTAAATTTGGAATTACAACGAAACGTAGAAGGCTACAAGGTATTTTATTTCATTTTTTTTTATTTTTTCTTATAACAAGTATAAACAGTTATTCGTTTAAACAGTTATTTCTTCGTCAAGATTGTACTCATCAAACACTGTCAAAGGATTAATGTCGAGCATCGTTAATTGTTTCAACTCATATTATGGAGTGTAGCCTTCGAATGAATAATTTTTTCAAGTCATTTAGAATTAATGACAGAGAACGTCGCAAATTCGCAACGATGAGCATTTAAGAAATGAAGACAGTCTCATTGGTGACATTTCATTAATAATGGAATTGATGTTAATGGCGTATAATTCCGACAATGTGGCACGACTTCGCATATCACAAGGAAAGGAACGACAGCATTGCGTGAAATGTTTCCTGAACATTTGGCTTTCGCGATTTAACTTATTATAATTGGCGGCTATGGGCTTT